CCTGGTACGTGGCTCAGGCCTGGCAGCCTCCTCAGGGCCCTCTGCGGTCCTCTTCACCAATGTTCTTGGACTTCTGCTTAACCATTGCCTCTACCAGAAGCCACCAAACTTGGGTCACCCTGTCGGACATCCCCATTACCTGCTGCTCGTCTTCTTCATGAGCAACATGAAGGACCTGGCATCACTGATTTAATCTGTCTCCCGACTTGACTGTGAGCTGTGACTGCTGCATCCCTCCCCCTCTCTGGGAAGGAAGGACAGGGGCTGTCACACTTTCCTCTCCCTCCCCCACTCTCTCCCCACAGAGGGGCTTCCTCCAAGGACCACTCTGCCTCCTAGTCTTTCCACCACCGGTATTTTGGGCCTGTCTCTGATGTCTGTCATGTGAGAATGCCCTTCCACACAGACGGGTGACGCCACACTAGAGAAGATGGATGGCCGAGTGTTTTTAATGAACTTGGTGACGTACTTTCATATTTCACCTCTTAAAAACTGATCAGTAAACATTTCTGATTATATCTTCTTTAAAAGAGTGATATGTTAATTTTTTTCTGGGTGTAAAAGAAACATTTACCCACTGTGGAAAATTTGGAGAATACAGAAAAAAAAATTAAGAAAAGAAACTCACTCAATAACCCTACAACTCAGAGATAATCAAGATGAAAGATATTATCTATCTTCATACATACACATATGTTCACCTCTATCATCCATTTTGTTCCTCTACCACAAAACCTCGTTTAAACTTTTTAACTCTTAGACTAATATTCTTGTTCTCACTTTAGTGCCAAATCAGGCATGAAGAAGCACCTGTCACCCCTTACTGATGGGCCTGCCTGAAATATTCCCTTCTTCCTCTGACTCCTGAGGAGCCTGAGGTTTGCTCGAAGGTCTGTGTGCGGAGTCTGTAGTCCCTACCTTCTGTCAACTAAGGCCACGTTGAAAATGCCCTTTCAGGGCTGCCTTCCTGCCCTTCCGCAGAAAGCGAGTGTGACGCAGGGCTCTCCTGCTTTTGTCCCCACTCCCAGGATACTGAGGCAAGAAAGCCGCAGGCTGGGACATGAGGTAGAGTCCTAAGAGAGGAGGACCCCTAGCCCCTCCCCAGTGACTCTGGCCTCTGGTTCTCGAGGGCCCTGACCCAGGACCACCACTTTGCTCTCCCTCTGGGCCCTGAAGATAGGAGAAGGTCTTTAGGGCGGCCTGGGGGCTGGGAACCGACCAACACCTCCCTGGGTCTGGCTGCTTCAGGGCTCCAGTCTGTTCCTCCCACTCCCTGCCCTGCCCCCACCCCAACACAGCCCGCAGGCCCTGTGACCTTGCTGAGGCTGAGATGGATGAGGGGCAGGAGGCTAAGAGCAGCAGCAGAAGGTCCTCTTTGCTCCCTGAGTGCTCACTCCACAGTCCCAGCAAGAACAGGGGTTGGTGGCCACGCCACCCCTCCACCGGACTCACTCCCACAGAGAGCAGTGCGGTGGGTGCCTAGGACTGTGTGGGCTCCAATGTGGGCGCTCCTGAAGGCTGGCCACTTCAGGGAAGCACTGGACACAGCCTGAGCTCTGCCTCCCACCCAAGGTCCGCCTTCAGGCCACTTCAGGCACTGAAACGTGCATGTGTATAAACTCAGGGAAGGCAAACTTGCAGGGCAGAGCCAAAGGATCCCACCCTCAGCTGGACAACAGGAACCCTCCTACCTGCCTGGTCACAACGGCATAAAGGGTGATTAAGATGTGCTCTCAGACCAACAAAGGGGCGTGTGCTGGTGATGGGGATCACGGGCCTGCAGCCTCCCTGCCCTTCTGGCTGGTGTCTGGCTCCATTTTTATTCCTGGCCTGGGCCAAGCTTGTCACCAGGGCCAGGGGTGCTGGTTGGCAAGTCAATAGAAGGTTGTGGCCCCTAAGTTTCAGGGCTGTGGGACAAGATGCTGCCCCCACCCTAGTCTGGGAACTGGAGAAGCCAGGATCTCTCTCTCACACCTCCTTCCTCTGGGCGGGGCCCAGCAGCTGCTGGGGTCTGCGCCCTTGGCTCTGGTTCCGAGGCCACCATCTGCCCATGCAGGTGTAAAGATGCAGAGAGAGCTGCGTTCTCAGAGCATCTGCCAGGAACGGCAGGCGGGGTCTCCAAGAGGGGAGGCACCTTTTTGCTGAAAAGTGTTTTGGAGGCTCTTTTGGGGCAGATGCTGGCCTGCAGGTCTAGGCAGGGTGATGCCTGGCTTCCAGAGAAGAGGGAGTCTGCCCCCTTTATAGAACAGGAGCAGTGTCACCTGGGGGAGGCCTAGGGATGGAAGGAGGACCCAGTGGGGCTGAGCATTGGGTGGGTGAAGGTTAGGAATAAGGAGGCCCAGGTGGCCATGTGAACTGTGGTCACTGGACTGTGAGAGAAGGTCAACCTTTAACCAAGATTTTCAAAGTGTGTGAGGCACATCCTCCCTCCAACTCTCCCACGGGCCCTCAGGAAAGTCTAGAATGCTCACATGCTTTTGAGGGAATGGGTTCTTTCTGGTGGACGTGAAAAGAGGCTAATGCAGGATGGAAATGGAGACTGGGGCCGGGCCACAGGAGCTGGAGGCCAAGGGGCAGCTGACATCTGGATCTGGAGGACTGCCTTGGGTCTCAGAAGGGACTGGAGGGGACATCCTAGCCCCACTGGCATCTTCCGAAACAGGTGGTCTCCTGCTCCCCTCAGCAGGGAGGTGCTGGACCAGGAGCTAGGCCCCAAGAGAATGGGAAAGAGGACCTTCTCCCTGAAGGACCACTCTGAATGCCGCCGGAGGCAGGGCTGGGCCTCTGCAGAGGCGAGCCGGCTGGGAGGGCAGCGCTTGCAGGAGATCCCGCTCGAAAAGCATGTGCGATAGACACTCAGATGGACCGTGAATCTACTGCTAACTCTAAGTGCAGGAGAGAAAAGAGAAATGCTACATCGGACAGTGTTCAGCACGGAATTAGTACAGCACCGTCTCCCCGGGCAGGAATTCTCTCACCGCCTTCCCTCCTGGCGGCTCTGACCTCGGTTGCGGGTGCTGCGCAGGAACCGTATCTGCTACCCTCGGTGACTGAGCGCGGTGTCTGGCAGGGACAGTTGCTTAACAGCTACTGAATGAATGAATGAATGAATGAGGGAATGAGGGAATGAGGGAATGAAAGGATGAATGAGCCAATGAATAGGTCCAGGTCTGGATGGTATTCAGGATCTTGGCACTGGGCCTGCATTTCCACTCAACGTCCCCTCACTGGCCTTTGGCCAGGGGACATGTTGGCTTCCTGTAAGCCCCCTTCCTCAGGGTGCCCCCGGGAGTCCCCTGACTGGGGCTGAGAAAAGTCAACCTTTTGCCGATCAGATCTGGAGTCTGTCTGTCCATGGTGCCTGTCTGGTTCTCACCCCACTGCTGGGGCAGCCCCAGAGCGAGAGCACTGGTGCCCATTTGCCTGAGCTCTCCAAATGAGAACAGAGCAAATGGCCCTCCAGGAGTCCTGGGGTGGGGACAGAGGGAAGAGCCTCCGAGGGCCCATGGCATTGCTCCTCCCCCTCTCCAGCTCTCTATCCAGGGTTTCATAAGGACGGACAGACAGACTGACCAACGTGGGGCCAGGCCCTGCAGCTGTCACTGCGGCCCTCTGGACATGGCCTGGAGCACAGGGGTGAGGAGGGAGGCTTGGTGGTCAGGAGGATGTGGATTTGGGTCAGCTCTGCCCCACCAGATGAGTGTGAAGCAGGACAAGTCACTTCACCTCTCTGAGCCTTGCTGTCCACGTGGGGACACAGCAAATAGCCACTGTGTAGCAGTGTTTGAGGATGTGGTGAGACCAAGACCGTGCCTGGCCCACAGGACTGCTTGACAAAGACCGCCTCTCACCTGTGATGTCCCTCTACCCTGTGAGGACTGCTGGGCAGGATTTACCTCTCCTTTGGCCATTTTATGAGCATGGGGACTGAGGAGACAGGAGGCTTGGGCACTGGAGGAGTGTGTGTTTGTGTGTGTGTGTGCATGCACACATGTGTGAGGTGTGCATATATGTGAGAGGTATGTGTATGCATGCATGTGTGTGAATGCACACGTGTGTAATTATGTGTTCCACATGTGTGGGAGAGTGTGTGAGTGTATGTGTGAGTGTGTATGCACACATGAATGTGTGTGCGCACGTGTGTGAGATTGTTTAAGTATGTGTGAAAGTGTGTAGTGTGTGTCCATGTGAGTGTGTATGACAACTGTGTGAGCGTGCGAGTGTGTGCCTGTCTGTGCCCACAGGCCCCTGCGTGCTGGTGGAGTGGCTACTCTGAAGGACAAACCTCCTCTCTGGGACATCCTATCCCTGGATTTCTCCCTGCCCCCTCAGACGTGGACTCATCACGATGCCCTCCACCTCTGGCAGCACCATGGCCTGAGGGCCCGGTTCACAGAGTCCCTGTTTGCCCCGAGCCCCTGTGCCCGGCACAGAGGAAGCGCCATGGAGTAGGTGCAGTGGCTGAATTCCTGGGCGGGAGGCCTGACTCCCAGGGCAGATGTGCTCGCCACAGGAAGCCAAACCCCGGGCCAGGGATCCACTTCATTGTCACCAGTGCACAGCAGGGCCTGAGGCCGTGTGGGTGCAACACCCTCAGACCCCACCAGGCGGAGCCACATGCCTATCTCCAGGCAAGGCCCATTCTCAGGCTTCTGGTTCCAAGAAGCCCTATTTCAGACCAAATCTGTCCCAGGTCTCCTCAGCAGCTCCGCCTGAGAAGAGGGGCTGGCCTCAGGCTCCTGGGCTAGCTCTGGACCAGACGATGAGTGGGGCTGCTCAGAGCACAGGGCTGGGACCCCCGGCCCCACATCCATCCTGCTCTTCCTTCTAGGTGGCCCTGCCCCTGGGCCAAGGTGATCTGAGGAGCCACAGAGCAGCCTTACCAGGCCAGCGGGGTGGGGCGGGTGGGGGGGGGCTGGTCCCTGCCCAGAACTGTCTCCAGCTCCCACAGGCCCTGAGCACATCCACTGGGAGGGAGGCCGAGCTGAGGCCACACTCACCTTTCCAGCCCTGAAGACATCTCTTCACTAAACTCTGAGCTCTCACTACTGCCTGGAAAAGGAACACAGATCAATGAGCGTGGTGGGCGGCCTCGCAGAAGAGAGGCCAACCCCAGAGAGGCCTATTCTCCTGGGTCATGGGGCCCAGGCCCCTGAGCTCCACAGAAGTGATAGAGAAACAGCTTCCTGACCCTGTGGGTATCCGTGTGACTCGGGTTTCTGCTGCTGCTATTTCTGACTCTGCCCTAAGTCAGTCGAAAGAACCATCCTGTCCCACTGTTCCCACGTGGGTCCTCCACTTGCTTCCCACTGTTCCCCTGAAGGCTGCAGCTGCCTGTCCACTGGCCCACTGGGGTCTGGGTCCTTAGGCCTCTGTCTTGGCCTGGTCTGGCTCCACCACTGTCTCCCTTCTGGCCCAAGTGAAACCATTGCTTAACAGGCCTCACCTGGTGAGGACAGAAGCCAAATGAGCACTTCTTCTCCCAAGGGTCAGGGCTTGACTGGACACTGGTCACAGAGCAGCTGCCTCACATTAGGCAGAAGCCTCGAGGGAGGGCCTCTTCACTCCCCTGGCCAGTGTACACACAGAGAGGGGCTCGACCCTCCCCAGGGCCTGCCCCTCGGGGGCTGACTGGGATGCCCTCCTTCTCAGGGGCTCTCCAAGGCCTGGCTCTGGCCACAAGGACAGCAGAGAGATTTCCTCCTGTCACTTCACGCTGTCTTTGTACTCTCCCTCAGAACTCAGAGGCACCTCGGGCCAGTGCTCTTTGCCTGGGCCGCCTGCTGGCACCAAGGCTGGGCAGTGGGAAGGGGGAAGGAGGAGGCCTTAGGCCCCTGGGAGTTACAGGGTGCAGAGGACCAGTTCAGCCCCAAACCAGCCACATGAACACATGGCAACCTGCTCCTGGGCCCTCAGCTCCAAACAGAAAAACATCTGTGCTTCCCGAGTAGAGGAGCTGAGAACCAAGCCGCCTGGTGATCGCCCGCCTGGACACCAGACAGCACTGCGTCTGACTCAGTTTTCTGTCTCAGGAATCGCGAGGCCTGGGCTCAGGCGCAGCTCAGAAAGTTTCCTGGATGTAGAACAGCTCCTCCGCTGCCCAGCTGAATGCTCCTGGGCCAGCATTTCTCAGACTGGTTCCAGAAGCCCATCCCACAGGACGCTCCAAGGAGAAAGGTTCCCTGACCAGACACTGTGGGAACCCGTGGACTCCACTGCCCTCTTGGAGACCCGTAATGCCCATCGGCACACTGACGTCTCTGAGAAGAGACCTGCTTACCTGGCTTAACCCAGCCTTTCCCGAACACGCTGCCCCCAAACTCTTCTCCCGAGGCACACCAGGAACCACGGGCCGCACTGTCCTGAGCTGTCGCACACCGCTGACTGGGTCCAAATAGGAGAACCGCCTCCCAGGACAGAAGGCAGACATGGACCTTGCTTGTCACAGACTCTCTGGGAGTGGGAGACAGCTGCCCCCTGGAGTGACACTGCTTCAGAGACTGGCCTCATTTCACAGGGACGTGGGACATGAGATTCCTGCCCATTTTTCCTGTCCCTACCACCTACTTCCTTCCAGTTCTCAGGGGCCCTCCACCCCAAAGTCCTCACCAGATCAAACACCCAGCCTGGCAATTGTCTAAGCCACCACCAGCCCCGAGAGGGCTCCCTGTTAAGGGAAGCAGACAGACACACAGACACACAAACTACAGACGCACAGGCTTGTTGAAAGGGCACAGCCAGCACAGAGTATACCTGTCTGATAGCAGTAACAACAGGGGACCTGGGCACTGCAGGGGGATGGACCTGTGACCAGAGCTCAATGCGTCGTCAGCTCTGACTTCAACCTCTGCCCATCCCAGCCACAGCAGCTCAGTTTCTGTCCTTTCCATTGACATAAGCACCATTTCTGGCTGAAACTCAGACATGCAATTTCATCCTTGAAGATCAAGTTTCCATCCTCCCTAATTCTGGCCTCTCAGTGTGAAGATAAGCACAGAAGTGAGGACCCGGTGGCCCACCCAGCTGCTGTCCCCGGGCAGCTTCCCCTGCTCTTGCACACTGGGACTTGTGGCACCCCCAGGGACAGAAGCCCCATGGGGGCAGCAGCCAGGCTTTGGCAGTGGCCGACAATGACAGCAGGTCTCAGGCACCTGTCTGGCTGCTCCCTCCACCTGCCTGCCACACTCAAGGCTACCAGCAGAATGAGGACAAACCCAGGGCACTTCGTGAAGCCCTGGAGGTCAGGAGCAAAGGCCTCCCTGGCTCTAGTGACTCTTGCAGGGAGCCCTTTCTGCAGGGGACGAGGGGCCACCGGGCACTGCACAGTGACAGAGACAGACATGGAGCACACGCCAGGCTGTGGCCCGCCCGCTGTCATGTGCAGGCTGAGACGCTTACCTAGGGAGAGTCCATTGGTGACGGCAGAGGAGGAGGTGAGGGCGAGGCCCCTGCGGGGGCTGCGGGACTCTAGGACACTGTCGTCCAGCAGGTGCCTCGCTTTCTCCGATGGGAATGTCGCACTTTTACTCTCAACTACACTCAACTGACACATCATACTGGAAGACGGAAAGGAAGAGAGAAAGCAAAGCTCCTTATCTATGGAGTGACCATGGTTACACCTGCCCTGGGGGCTTGAGCAGATGGCGCAGCTGCAGGAAACAGGCCTCCACACAGAACCATGCTACAAGTCCAGGCGATGCCCTGTCTCACAGTGTCACCTGGGCAAGTCACATCCTTTCTCTGAGCCTCAGTTTCTCCATCTGCCAAATGGAGACTAATAATACTTGCCCTGCCTGTCTCCAAGGATGATTATGAGGCTCTAGTGAGCAGATGGTGCTTGTGAGCAATGGGGCCACATAAGTGGAGGGGCACTGTGACCCTGCGATCAGCACATCTGGTGCTGGTGTCACACGCCCCTGGTCCAAATCCTGGCTCCAACCTCACTACATCGCAAGGTACTTCACCCCGTTGAACCTCACTGGACTCATTCTTACAATGCAGACGTGTAACACAGCACCTACCTTGGAGGCCTGGAGGGGCCCAAGGAGACACAGTCGGCCCTCCACATCCGTGGTTCCGCATCCGCGGATTCAACCCAACCACGGATTCAACCAACCGCTAATGGGAAGGCCTCTGATGGTTGCATCTGTACTGAGCATGTACAGACTTTTTTCCTTGTCATTATCCCCTAAACAATACAGTATAACAACTATTTACATTGTATTAGGTATTATAAGTAATCTAGAGATGATTTAAAGTATATGGGAGGATGTGTGTAGGTTATATGCAAATACTGCCCCATTTTATATAAGGGACTTGCACATCTGCAGATTTCGGGGGGGGGGTGTGGGGGGGTGGTCCTGGAACCAATCCTTGCCAGTTACCAGGGACAACTGTAATGCTCCACAGGAATGTAGGTTGAGGTTGAGGCTGGCTGAGGTTTATGTCTTAGTGAAGGAAGGAAGGAAGGAAGAGAGGGAGGGAGGAAGGGGAGGAGGAAGATGGGAAGAAGGAAGGAAGGAAGAGATGAAGGAACAGAGGGAGGCAGGGAGGAAGGGATGGAGCCAACTCTTAGGAGCCTGTGCCAACACCCTGGGGACACGAGCATGGCTGCCCCCAGTGATGCCAGGACCACGCATGTCCCCTGGCTGTCAGCCCCAGAGGGCTGGGTGAACCAGCGGCGGGTTCACACTCCACAGGCTTTCTGCAGCAATTGGCAGGCAGAGACTCTGAGCCCCACCACTAGCAGGCGCCACGAGACACCTAGTGCTGCCCTGGATGACAGTCATGGTGTCTACTGGACTCTGGGATTTTCCATAAAGGAGGCACTAATTGAACCTGGGAGCAAGCTTTCTGGAATCCCACTATTGCTTCCCTGTCCTTGCCTGCATGCTTCCTCCATCGGCTACTGAGCCAGCAAGATCATCACCAGTACACAGGCTGTGCTGCCGCAGCCACCCCCAGCTCTTCCAGCCTGAGAGAAGGACACCAGCCAGGATACCAGGGCGCTTGGCAGCACCTCCCAGATGGGGTTGGGGAGGGCCCCGGTGGGCAAACATTCCCAGGATCCCTTTAGCCCCTACCCCATGCTCAGCCGAGTCCGGGGGGGCTCACTCACTCACTTGTTGCCCAGGCTGTGGCTCTTCCTGTGTCTTGGGACTGGGGGTGTGGGGAGGCTGCCAGCAACAGAAGCATCAGGACAGGTGGGCCTCCGGCTGAACCTCGCAGAACTGGAGCCGGCGGAGGGGCCTGCGAACAGAGCAGAAAGAGAGTGATGGTGGGGGCTGCAGAAGCTTGGAGGAGGAGAGGCAGGCTTGGGGTAAGGTACCCCGCCTGGCTGTCACAGGTGGGCAAGGGTCATTCAAGCCCCACAGCTTTCTGCTCATGAGACACTGGTCCCTCCCTTCCAGTACAATCAGTGTCCAGGTCTAACAACCAACAGTCAGGATGGCCAGTGTCCAGCTGTGCATGGCCTCCCCTGGCTAATGCAGAGGAGAGTGCCATGATGGATGTGGGGGATGCACATGGGGATCAACAGCCTGGCCCCATTTCCCCATGGAACAACTTATCCAAAGCCACCCAGCTGGGTGACAGAATTGAGACTTAACAGCGTGTCTTCTGAGTCCCCCCATGTCCTTCTATAGCCACTCTGCTTTCTAGCCCCTCATTCAAAACAAAGGGATGGAAAGCTTCCTGGGGAGGCAGCAGATTGAGCGAAAGCACAGCTAGGCAGGCAGGGGCTCAGACCTCAGGCCTGTCAGCTCCTGCCTGGGTGACCTTGGACGGGTTACGTAACTTATTCCCTGAGGCTCAGTTTCCTTGCAGGTGGCTGAGAGGAGTCCTGAGGTAGTGTCTGTAGAGCCCCACAGTTAGCACTCATACTTGTTTTATTACGAGAATTATCACCATGTCCTCCTCAGCCTCAATCATGGGGCCAACAGGAGGTCACCAGAGCCAGGGGCTTGGGCCACAAACGCCACTGAGCACTATATGCAGACAGCGAGGCAGAGTCCTTTGTGGCCATGTCCACAGCTATGTTTTGAGGGGGTGGGACCCCGACCACTGCTGTACTCTTTAGTTTCTGTGGCTTGGGAAGGGAGGTCTTTAAGGGAGGTGACCCCAGATGCTAGTGTAGCTTTTGTTACCTGGGCCAGACACCGGAAGTGAGGACCAGGGCTTCCACAAAGGGGCCCAGCCACTTCCTACAGAGCACGTCGAATACACAGTGAATCAAGGGGCTGCTGCCTGGCCATGCTGGGGAACTTTTCTTGAGGGCCTGTGAGGTCCAAGGTCCATCCAGGGCTCCACATCCTCCACCACAAGATAGCGTAGATCCACAAGTGACCTAGGTTCCCGTGTCCTCCGGCATGTTTGGATCATGCTTAGTGTCCAAAATAATGGCCCCCCTCCCCAGCCTGTCCACTGCGGAAAGTCCACCTCCCTTCTGGAACTTTGGGAGGTACCGAGGCCTCCCTCTTTGGCTCCTGGTTTTGATTTGATTTTAACTCGACAGACACGCTGATGACTCTTCGATCTTTACTGTAGTCCTTGTATCTGAGCCCAAGACCTATATACCCACCTGTTGGCACGATATCTCTGTCTGAACTTTTCTAAGGTACCCAAGTTCAGCTCAGCCAAGGTTGAACCTGGAACCTCCTCTTGGATTTCCAGCCTTGGCTGGAAGCACTGCTGGTCACTCAGTTCCCTGGCCTGGAATGTGGGCTTGTCTTGGCTTCTCCTAGACTATGATTTGCCTTTTCTCTTCTCACTTGCCATACACAGTCACCAAAGCCCCTAGATTTTTGCACACCCTCTCCCTGCCCATCTCTCTTGTCAGTGATTGGTATGGGTCCCCACCCTTTATCTTCTTCCTGTCTTCAGTCTGATCCTCTCAAATCCAACCCATATACAGCTTCATGAGTGTTTGAAAAATGAAAAGTTGGCCACGTCATTCCTTGCTTGAAACTGTCAATGGCATGGTATTCAAACCCTGCCGGACTCAGTCATTTAAGCTGATCTTAAAATACTGAGGGAAGAACAAAGGGACAAAACAGCCAAGACAATTCTTAAGAAGAATAGTATAGGACTTGCCCTACTAGACATCAGAACAAAACACAAAACAACAGTAATTCACACAGCTCGGTGTTGGGGCATGGATGGAGAAACAGGTCAGTCAATCAGAAGTGAGAGCCTAGACTTGCTTCACGGTGGCGGTGGTATTACAAGTGAGAGGGGAAGGGAGAGTCTTTTCAGTATATACAGCTAGAACATTTGGGTTCCATGCGGAAAGAGATGAAATTAGAGTCCTCCTATCTTATATTATACAAGTGGATTAATGCCATAAGTGTGAAAAGCAAAAAGGCAAAACTATTGGGAAAGAAATAAGAGACAATCTTTATAACCTCGAGGAGAAGAAAGAAACAAAAAGCACAAACCTTAAAAGGGAAAAAGTGAATAAATGTGATTACATTAAACATTACTGCACAAAAGTAAACAAATAAACAAAAGGCAGCAAAATCAACATTAAAAGGTAAGTCATAGTCTGGGGAGAAGGGATCTGCCACTCACACCATCAACAAAGGATTCATGTTCAGATATATAGAGAACTTCAAATACCAGCAAGAAAGAGACAAACAACACGGAGAAAATGGACAAAGGACACAAAGAGGAAATTCACAAAAGAGGAACCCCAAATGACCAATAACTATAAGGAAAGATGCTTAACCTCACTGACAATAATGGGAATGTAAATTATAGTAAAAACAAGAGACATTTTCACCTCATTAGATTGTAAAAAACTAGTTAGCCTGACAATATCAAGTGTTGGCCAGGATGTGGAGGGACAGGAATGCTAGTTCAGGGCTCAGAGGAGTGTAGAACATTTGGAAAGCAATTAGCTATGCTGGTAAAGGTGAAGATGCTACGCCTTCGTGACCAGTGACTCCAATGCGAGGTCTCTATGCTTGGGAAACTCTTGCACAGATGCACAAGGAGACATATTTACAAGGATATTCAGTGCGGAAACAACCTACGGGCCCCTTGTATGGAAATGGATAAATGAGCTGTGGTCCACTCACTCAACAAATTCTACAGAGCAGGAAAAAATGAAGAAACTGGATCTACAGGTACCAATAGGGCTAGGTCATATAAATATACGTAAGTGGAAAGAGAAAGTTGCAAAAGAACGTTTATGTCGATGGCATGATGTTATTTAGGTAAAATTTTAAAAACATACAAAACGTTGTATATACGTTTATGTATAGGTATTGAAGGGGTTCACAGGCCTCCCCAAGACGTGCCACTTTGGCACGTGGAATATTTTGAGCTAAAGGCAATCATCGAGACCCTGTGGGCTCAAGACAAACTTTACCTCTCCCTTAAAGAATTTAAATTGGGGGCCTTGCCCATAATAAGAGTTATCACCAGAAATAAATCTTTACAACCTATCTGTATGGCAGGGCAAACCTCTAATTGCCGACCATCTTCTCTTCTTATCATCCTGTGAATTGCCCTCCTCTCCTCCGAAGCCTTGGGCCCCTATCCCATTCCTTCGCTCAAGATGGCATATATACCTGGTTTTACCTTTTTGTCTCCAACCCTCTCACATAAGTGTATTCTTGTATGTCTGCAGTTAAATTTGATTTTCTCCTCTTAATCTGTCTCATGTCGATTTAACTTTTAGACCAGCCAGAGGAACCTAGAAGGGTAGAGGAAAATTTCTTCCTCTCCCACAGTATATATGTAGTAAAACACAAAAACCTGCAGAGGAATGACTCAAAACGGTACCAGGACAGCAGTACTTCGCTCAAGAAGAAAAGGAGAGGATGGGTGAGAGGGACTTTTGCTCTCTCTGTGATGTTAATTACTTGAAACATATAAAGCAAATATGGCAAAATGTTACTTCTGTTTAACAGGGATAGTGGGTACAAGGGGTATTCCCTATTATTAGACATTTCATTATTTAAAATGAGAATACTTTAAAACTACTGGACACCTACTCTGCCAGGTGCTGTGCTAGGGGCTGTGCTGGAATCTTCTGTTTGCCCTCCAGATCTGTCCTGTACCTTTCTCCGCCCTGTGCAAGGGGCCTAGGTCAGTGGGCTCCCTCCTCTCTGGCTCCTCGTTGGGTCACGCCAATGGGGAGCCCTGGCGGAGGCTGGGGGAAGGGAGGAGAGTGAGGCTGGGGCACCGCTTCCTCCAGCTGTCTCCTGTGGGGTCACTCCTGAGAGGCAGCGGTCTCCTCGAGCCTCTACTCTGAATTTGGTAACTAGTGCTCCATGCACTCCTACAGGCCTAGGGGCCGCTACAGCACCCCACTGTTTCTAGCCCTGGGGTGCTGCCCCGTCCCTTGGGGTTCCCCTGCACCCTATCCACGTCTTCGTAAACAGCCCCATTCTGAAACTCTCCTCCAATCACCCCATTTGAGTGTGCCATCTGCGTCCTGAGGCAGCCCCGCAGTGCCTTCACATATAACCCATACAACACCCCTCGGCGGAGGTCTCCATTATTAGCCTTAATTCACAAGTGGGGAAGCAGACGCTCAGGAAGTTAAGCATCGAGGACAGGGAGCTGGTTGGCAAGGGAACCAGGTTCAAGTCTAGGCCTGTGAATCCATGGGGTGAACACCTGGGACCACCTGCACCAGCACCTTCTCCAGCAATCTCCCCTCCCACGAACGGGGTCACCAACGCGGCTTGCCCCTGGTCCTGGCTAGGGGTAGACACCTTCCCCAGGATTTTTGACTTGAGCCTAGAACATGTTTGAAGACAATCTCTTTTTGGTGAATGAGAAATGAAACCTAGACACTGTCGATGGCCATGTTCCCCTTCCTGTGGAGAAGGAAGCTGGTGTGTGGTGAGACAGGCTCACAGAGTGAGGCAAAAGCAGGGCAGAAGGGAGTCCTGTTCCAGTTGTTCCTGAAGCCCAGGGCCTTTCTGTCCTTCCCTGGCCCGGCTACTCAGCCTTCCCCGGATTCAATGAGCCAATCGTTTCCCTTTTGGTTGAGGCCAGCCAGAGGCTGTCCCTGTTTGAAGCCCAAGGAACCCTAACAAGGAAGCCTCACACCACCACACCGCCTCTCAGGACAGCTGGCCCGGGGGGCAGGAGAGAGAGGAGGCCGTCTGAGGTCTCAACATGACGTCTCAAGAACAGGGCTCTGACAGACCAATCCATAACGACGAAGTCAGAGAGCCACGGCCGGGACTGCACCACGGAGAGGGGTCATGGAAGGCCTCTGAGGACCGTGTGGA